CCGCCGCTGGCGGGCGGCGGCGGAGGGGGGCTCGGGGTTGGGGAGAGGGTGGGCTTGGAGGAGGATGAGGAGGAGATTATGGCGGACAGGGAGACGGCGCCGCTGCGGCAGAGAGGGTCGCGCAGCGACGAGTGATGGCCGTGCGCGCGAGAGGGGGCGCCGCGGCGGGGGCGTCCGGGCCTCTTGTAGGGCCGCGCCCCTTGGCGCCCAAGCAACTGCAGGGTTTGGGGTCCGCTCGCACCCGGAGCGCCTGTTTCTAATCCTGGGCCGTTTTGTTCTCTGTATCCTGTGCTTTGTTGCTTTGATTTTATTGCCGGTTAGTTTAGGCACCAAACGGCCGACGGCATCACCATATCGCGTCCATGGTTTGTACAATAGCGACTGTGTTGATTTGGCCTGTCACCTGAACATGCACCCGCTCCCCTCCCCCTAGATGCGCATCCGCCTGAGCCACATCAGGCGCGCGGTGTGCTGCACACACAAGCATGACAGTGCTGCCGCAGGTGGCGCGGACTATATGAACAGCCCACGCTGTAATGTGCTTGTGTCCTCACCACAGGGTCCATGCACCTGCAGGCTAGCAGCGGGTTCGAGATGTGTTTGCAGGCGGCGGCCGGCCAACACGGCAGCCCCGTTGCCGCTTCGGATTCATGTCTGCATGCAAGCTCGGCCCCCGCCTACGTGGCAACGGGGCTGCCGTGTTGGCCGGCCGCCACGCAGGCGGGGGCCAAGCTTGCATGCAGACATGAATTCGAAACGGCAAGGCGACAAAAGGTATGGGTTCCGCATGCTTCTCAGCGCCCTCCGAAAAGCAGATTTGACAAAGCCGCACCACCAAAGCGCTGGCGCGGGGCCGAAACCATACGCCGCCAGCCTCTGACACGCCCATGGGTGGGTGGGGCTCTCCCTTTCGAGTGTGTGCACATTATTGTCATGAAGGCAGGGCGGCTGGCCTGGAGTGCCACTTGCACGGCTAGCATGTCCGCACTGCAACCCTCGAGCCATATCACACAGCCGGGGCCAGCCGCTGCTTCAGCAGCAAGCTCCACACCACGCTCAAGCTCTAGGCTGCGCCATGATACTGAATTGCCGAGCATGCCGGGCTGGCGGCGTGGTTCTGCAAGCGTGCGCCCCACTGGTGATCGACAGCTGAAGCTCCAGCTCAGTTGCTCAGCAGCTGCGCTGCATGAATTCAAGTAGCCGTTTGGCGCTGGTGTCTTTTGCAACATCTGACTATTGACCAACGCGGTGGTCGTTCTACATCAGCGCAACGACATTTTACTTTGGAATACCGTATCCACTGCCGTCGTGGCACCGCACACGTCGAATTGGCGCCGCGCACTCAGCATCCTGACCTTCGAGGGGACACCGATCGACATCATGCAGGCGAGCTCCACTAAATAAGTGCAGCCGCAACAAGCAGGGGAACGGACGGCGCCGTCGGCTGCAAACGGCAGCACAGCAACCGCTGCTGCCGCCGCAGCATGCGGGAGCGGCGTTACGGCCCCCGCTAGCTCCACGATTACGTAGCTCTTGCAGCTACATACCATGTGCCACACATGAGCCGCTGCGGCTCGCGATGAACGCGCGGCGCCAGCCGCCGTCTGGGGCGGCAGCAACAGCAGCGGTGGCGCACAGCAGCAGCAACAACCCCTTGCTCCAGCGGCCCACCTGGGCCCAGCGCATGGCGCAGCTACGCCAGCGGGTGGCGGCAGCGGCCCACCTGCCGCAGCCGCAGCGGCTCACGGCTGCTGATTCTCTCGTCGCTGCAGCGGCCAGCAGCCGCGCCTTTGCCGGTCATCCCCCTGCCTGGCATGCAGCCGCTAGTCTTGTTGATAGCCACTTTGACGGCGGCGGCATGGACCGCCCCACGCCACGGCAAGCGCACGTCGTCGCCGCCGCCGCAGCTCCGTACGACGCCGCGCCATCGCAGCAGCTGGGGCCTGTGCTGCTGCCAATTTTGGACGACGGCAGCGCCAGCACCGGGCACCACCCACCGAATGGCAGCTGCGGGCACGGCTCGCAGCCGCGGCCGCAGGCAAGCGCAGATGGCGCAGAGCACGCCGAAACACGTGTGACCCCGGGTAGGGCCCTGGCCTTGTTACTTGAGGCCGGCCGCGGCACAGACGGCAGCGAACCCCCGCCGCCCCCGATTTCGCCGGCCAACGCGGCGGCGCTGCTGCGGCGCGCGCGGCCGCCGCGGGGGCGCCTGTTGACCGAGCAGCTGGCGGCGGTGGCGGCGGCCGCGGCGGCGGCGCTGCGGCGGCCGTCCGATGCTGGCGACTCATGGACAGATGGGCCCGGGGCTGGGGCCGGGCATGGCGACCAGGACAGCGCTGCTGAGGAGCTGCTTTGGCAGGTGGGCGGTCCGGCAATAGTATTTTATAGTTTGCGCAAAGCGATTGGCTATCTTGTTACCTCGGGGCCGCGCCGCAGCAACTCGGGTGGGGCACGCGCCCGCCGGCGGG